TATTAAGACTTGAAATTTACACTTGATATGAATAATCACTATAAATTTCTTAAAGATTCTTAACTTAAAAAAATAAAAAAGAAAAAAATAAAAGTATTTAAAATAATTTTATGTAATTTCAAGTAATTATGTATATTTAATACAAATATCAAATTTTTATTTGCATATCTTGAAATCTTGTGTTTTTATATTTATTCACCACAAATAACAAGTATAGTATATGCATATTTTAAATGTTAAGTACATGCACAACGACAAAGAGCTAAAATGTAATTTTTCCCATCTTCTATTACTTAATGTTGTTGTTTAGGTTAAGGAACCCAAATAATGTAAGAATTTGTTATCTTTCCTCTTTCTCTACCTTCTTCTCCTTCTTACTACCTTCATCTGCGTTTCGTTATTTTGAGATCGGAAGTCCTTGAGCTTCCGAGTTTTTGATGCTTGAGCCGTTAGGATCTTCGATTGCTCAAGCATGATGGAGCCGGTTTCATGCTTCTTGCTCCGATGACCTTTTGTGGTTTGTCAGTTGTTGGGCCTCTTCTAGTGGCCTTTTTTTTGTTTTTGTTTTTTTGTTTTGTTTTCTTGGTTTTCTGTTTTTTTGTTTTACTTGTTTGCTTTTAGATCCGGCGACCCACTTATCCATCACGCAGATCTTTGGAGGTGCTCGTTGGTCTCCCCAACTCTGGCGGCCATCGCGCTTCTCATGATGCTTAAGAGGGATGGTCATTGCCTGTCTAGATTTCCCACCTCGGTGTCTTGGAGACTTGGTGCAATTTCTACATGAGCAGATTAAAGGGTGTCCCGTTTGCTGAATCGTTCGACCCCCAAAAACTGTACAAACTTGTTCCTTGCGGTTGTTTGAGTGTACTGTTCATCTCCTTTCATCCTTTATTGAAATGGGTCTACTCTAACTTTTCTCTCCATATGTATTTTTTCTATTTGTTATTTCCTCTTATTCGTTGGATAAGGTTTTGCTGTAAATGCCGTATAACGGTGCTTTAATGAAAAGT